AGCGAAAGGGCAAAATGTTCCCTCCCCCCACCGTCGCGAACAGCGCCCACTATCTTTTTCCAGAACCCTTCCGGGTAACGTGAGAAAAAAGAGCGAAATGGACCACTACGTGAAGAAGACTGTTCAACAGAAAATTCCGGGTTCTTTTTGAGATAGTTCTTCGAGTGGTTCGTACCACTTTATCAAAAAAGAAGATAATGATATGGAATTACTAAAAATACAGACAAGAACACAGAATGCAGAAGAGCGGTAGAATATTCCACAAAAATTGTACACGTACCTGTCCTTCTGGATGAACAGGAACGTTTTTTGGAAATAACTCGGAGAGGTTAATCAAGTCAGAACGATCACGTCCACGCGGGATTTCGCACCGCGAAAGGGAATGATTAGAGCTCGATGAAACCTCTGAAAGAATACTGATAGATGAGAAAAAAAACTGAAACAATGGAATAAAATAGCGGTAAATATTGAGGAGGAGCACAAAAGGAGCGAAAGGTAATAGGAGTATTTTGCCAACAAGTTGTCAATAACGCAAAATTTTCTATAGTCTCACTCAAAAGAACTAGATGATGACTCAAAAATTACTGATTCAAGTTGTTAATACTTCTAGCGGCATTTATAATTCGCGACTAGGACGATTCCGAAATCATGCTATCACAACCGGCCGCACTCCTCCGAATTCATTGCGTCGATGACTCCCCAACGAAATCACATCCAGGAAGGAAGGAAGGGACTTTTTTGACAGTTCCAAACGCCCACGGATTAGCGGTCAAGCGCGGTCGGCCACAGTCGCGCAATTAGGAAATCGCGCGTGTCGCGAAGTATGAACGCGGCTTCTGATGCATTTGCCAACAAGGCCGTAAGGTGACACTCGTACTGATGGTATATCGCGTTTCGACTATCGTGTTCCTCAGAAGCATAAAATTCGAGAACTGCCCTCTCTAAGAAATCAAACTTCCTGAAGTTTCCGACAGATTTTGTGGAAACCAAAAGCAAATCCCAGACGGGAGAGATAAACCGTAGGAAATCTTCAACAGGGGAATTGTTCGAAAACGTAACGAGGGTATTATAAGACATTTGGCCTCTGAGAGTGCGTTCATACTCAGTACCAGCGTTTTGAGTGTCTGTTAGCATTTAAGGATTTCATGCGATCAAGCGTCCAAATGTTCAGAAAAGTGCATGCATATCTAATGATAGAATATGCTAGCGTCGCTTGAAACGCTGGATCGATACCTACACTTTCCTAGTCGCTTAGAACTTTGACAGACGCTCAAAACATTGATTATAAAGCTTTCTGAGGAATACGATCTAGTCCAAACGTCGAGCTGCTCCACCGCACAACATTGCTGGCACACAAAAGTATTAAAATTGAATACTTATGACTAGACATTGTGAAAGGTCAAGTTAGAAAGTGAGTTCTTATTCTAGCATTCCTGCACCAACCTTTGATTTGTTTAGGTATTTGACGTAAAAGGTCGATCAAACGTAACCAAGCTCCAGTAAGTCGTCCACGGTTGTGAAACTGGAATCAATGGCCCTTTTCACTTTTAATTAGTCAATTACTCTGACACGAAGACATCAAAATATTGATCGATGCCGCTGCTGAACTTGAAAGGAATGTGTTGCTTTAGGAATTCCTAGACTTTTTCAGACGGATAAAACTGTCAAAAGGTGCCCAATATTTCAATCAAAATCAATAGAATAGGAATATAAGAGAAATAAATATCAAATGATGACTAAGTATCAACAAAGTACAACCGGGTATGACTCAAACATGTGTAAGAAAATCGTATCGTATGACGAGCGCAAAGGCAGAGAGTACTCGATTTGGAACTGCACTGATACCGTTCACGATCAATAGGTGATCCGAGAAAAGATTAACATCTTCGGTTGGACCGCAACTATGCATCGACCCAGACGGGTTCATTATTGCTGTCACATGACCTTACCGTACGCTGGGGAAACCCCAAAAAACAGCAGGGGGAGGGTCGCAAGTGTTGTGAGAAAAAATTTATTTGGAAGTTGAATTCCCGTTCTACACGTGCCGAATCCTCTACCCAATCCCGCTTCTCCCTCCCTTCCCGCTCGACAGCAGCGCTTTGGTTCTGAGATGAAAAAGTGGAGGCATTTCCGGAAGCTTCCGGAAAAGTGGTCGGAATTGAAAGAAGTCGGTAAGTTGGTAGGTAGCATGGGGAAGTAGGGGACGTAGTGAGAGACGAAAGGTGGAATTTCGGGAGGGGGGGGGTCAAATTTTGCGAAGTTTTTTCCAAATGATAGGACGCGCCCTGTCCGTATTCATTAATTTGTCTCTTCAATCAATGGGATGAAACCACTTTGTAACTATCAGTTCACGGGGAAATGATCAAGCCAAGACGATGCAGAAGTTTTAAGGGTTCGGTGATGGTGTAATCAATCAAAATAGCATGACTATTCATTATAGAAGCACCTCCGTGATCATTATTATACGCCCAGAGAACGGTATGCGCGCAAGGACATTTCATGTAAAACCTTGCCGGCCAGCGCACAATTCACTTACGGCACATATAATGCGACTATGTTCGGGCGCGGTTCGGTCAAAGGGGGGGGGGCATTTTGCATTACTGCAGTAGCACGTTTCCAAACATTGGCTGGTATAACCCCATTGCATCACAAAATTTCACAAATTCCTCGCTCGACACAGCGACAGAAGCAGCGGAAGTGCAAAATGCGCTCCCCCTGTAGCTGAACTGCACCCCTGTTCGTATAAAGCGAAACTAGCAGGAACAATAATCAATCGTGAACATTTAGTCCTTACCTAAGACGCTTCAATCAGATATCACAAAGGACTAAAAGCTATGCACATAAGAAAGGCTGGCCGAAAAGTAGTCAGAGCACTTAGACGAGGGCTACCTCATGCTACCCCCACCCTCTCTTCCCCGCCCCCCCCCCTCTCCGCAGGACGAGCGATTCTCATGAGAAGCAGCACATTAGTAAAACGTGCAATAATTTCATTACCGACAGCCAATGTACAAGTGTAACACCACGCCAGTGTGAAGAATAGCACTTAAAGGTCGAGTAGAAAAAGAGAAATTTTCATGTGACAGACTGGGTACATCGCGAGACCACCCTTGAAGAAACGAAATCATGCGATGTTGTTCATAAAGAAGAAAATTATCGTAAATAAATACTATATCCCACATTGTTACACATTTATATGTATTATTAATACTACTTACTATACA